TTATTGAAATAAAATTGATTTCCATTTGGAAAATCAATAGGATTATTCAACATACCTCTAAAATATTCAGTTCACTAATGTCTACATACTTAATTAATAAAGTATATTTGATAGAAAATAATTAAATATCCTTTAATCATTTCAATATCACAATAATATTATGATAAAACACTGAACAAAAGTCCTAATTGAAATGTTAATCTGTTTTTTTTTTTGCAAAGAGTATTTCCATTAGATAACATTCCTATACGTATTTTATGAAATATTTCTGTTTTTCCCCATAATAAAATATTTTCATATTTATATCAAGTTTTTTTTTAATAGACAATTTTCATAAATATTTTCTAAAGTAATTATTTCTCTCTATAAATCAAAATGAATAGTACAGTTTCAGTTATTTTTTCAGAAAATCATCGAACTCTTTAATTATATAAACATTATATCAACATATGTAAATTAAAGTGATAACAAGCAGAAATAAGGTTGCAATGAGAATAAATTTGCTTTTACAAAATTCAATTTACATAATTATTTATTTTGGTTGAAATTACTACTGATTTATTGATAATGCACTGTTTATATGCTCCTTTAATTGCGCGCTCTTTCACTTGTGACTCATCCCAACCACAAAATAACCTTCGCGTGCATCATAATAGTTGATCTAGCCGAAACTTTTACGAGCAGCGAACGATATAACATTATCAAAATTAATTAATATCTCACAAAGAAACGTTAAGAAAGTTAACTTTAACTTGACATGATTTTAATAAACAATTTTTATTTTTCAATAGAATCTCTATATCTTCATAGTTATAAATTTAACGAATATGTTCTTAATTCAATGTGAAATTTCACGTATTTTATTCGTTAAATACATTACATGTGTTTCGTTTTTAATTGATTTCTCGTAAACTGTGAAAAGGAAACTTAATATTTAATACGTAAATTAAAGCTATTATTATAGAGAATATGATGGTTAAGCAAGGTAAATCCTGAGTCTAACACATTTCTTGTAATTTATTGTTAAAGTTATGAAAATTAAAAAAAGTAATGTGTTTTAATTATTAATTGATTTCTTTTAATAACTATAATAGGAAACCAAGATTTAATACTCAAATTAAAGCTACTATTATAGAGAATATGATGGTAAACAATGTAAATCATGACAATAACCGATTTCTTGTAATTTATTGTTAAAGTTATGAAACTTAAAAAAAGTAATGTGTTTAATTATTAATTGATTTCTCTAAAACTATGAATAGGAAACCCAAGATTTAATACTCAAATTAAAGCTACTATTATAGAGAATATGATGGGTAAACAATGTAAATCATGACAATAACCGATTTCTTGTAATTTTTGTTAAAGTTATGAAACTTAAAAAAATAATGTGTTTAATTATTAATTGATTTCTCTATAACCATGAATAGGAAATTTGCTCAGACATCTAAAATATCTTTCAAAATACAGTTAATGTAGTTCTCGAAAAAGTTCCCACTTTCAATTGAACAATTAAACAAAATTATTGAAATAAAATTGATTTCCATTTGGAAAATCAATAGGATTATTCAACATACCTCTAAAATATTCTATTCACTAATGTCTACAAGCTTAATTAATAAAGTATATTTTGAAATGTTTATTTTGCATAGAGTATTTCATTAGATAACATTCCTATACGTATTTTATGAATTAATTTTGTTATTCCCCATAATAAAATGATTTTTTTTCATATTTATATAAACTAAAACTATATAAACTAACACAAATTTACTTTATTAAATTTAAAATAAAGGACAAGATATATTGGATGTAATGGACACTAATATTTGCTCAGACGTTTGAAAAATCTTTCAAAATACAGTTAATGTAGTTCTCGAAAAAGTTCCCAATTTCAATTGAACAATTAAACAAAATTATTGAAATAAAATTGATTTCCAGTTGGAAAATCAATAGGATTATTCAACATACCTCTAAAATATTCTATTCACTAATGTCTACAAGCTTAATTAATAAAGTATATTTTGAACTGTTTATTTTGCATAGAGTATTTCATTAGATAACATTCCTATACGTATTTTATGAATTAATTTTGTTTTTCCCCATAATAAAATGATTTTTTTTTTTCATATTTATATAAACTAAAACTATATAAACTAACACAAATTTACTTTATTAAATTTAAAATAATGGACAAGAATATATTGGATATAAAGGACAATAATATTTGCTCAGACATCTAAAAAATCTTTCAAAATATAGTTAATGTAGTTCTCGAAAAAGTTCCACATTTCAATTGAACAATTAAACAAAATTATTGAAATAAAATTGATTTTCCATTTGGAAAATCAATAGGATTATTCAACATACCTCTAAAATATTCAGTTCACTAATGTCTACATACTTAATTAATAAAGTATATTTGATAGAAAATAATTAAATATCCTTTAATCATTTCAATATCACAATAATATTATGATAAAACACTGAACAAAAATCCTAATTGAAATGATAATCTGTTTATTTTGCAAAGAGTATTTCCATTAGATAAAATTCCTATACGTATTTTATGAAATATTTCTGTTTTTCCCCATAATAAAATGATTTTTTTTTTCATATTTATATCAAGTTTTTTTTAATAGACAATTTTCATAAATATTTTCTAAAGTAATATAATTATTTCTCTCTATAAATCAAAATGAATAGTACAGTTTCAGTTATTTTTTCAGAAAATCATCGAACTCTTTAATTATATAAACATTATATCAACATATGTAAATTAAAGTGATAACAAGCAGAAATAAGGTTGCAATGAGAATAAATTTGCTTTTACAAAATTCAATTTACATAATTATTTATTTTGGTTGAAATTACTACTGATTTATTGATAATGCACTGTTTATATGCTCCTTTAATTGCGCGCTCTTTCACTTGTGACTCATCCCAACCACAAAATAACCTTCGCGTGCATCATAATAGTTGATCTAGCCGAAACTTTTACGAGCAGCGAACGATATAACATTATCAAAATTAATTAATATCTCTCAAAGAAATGTTAAGAAAGTTAACTTTAACTTGACATGATTTTAATAAACAATTTTTATTTTTAAATAGAATCATTATATCTTCATATTTATAAATTTAACGAATATGTTCTTAATTCAATGTGAAATTTCACGTATTTTATTCGTTAAATACATTACATGTGTTTCGTTTTTAATTGATTTCTCGTAAACTGTGAAAAGGAAACTTAATATTTAATACGTAAATTAAAGCTATTATTATAGAGAATATGATGGTTAAGCAAGGTAAATCCTGAGTCTAACACATTTCTTGTAATTTATTGTTAAAGTTATGAAAATTAGAAAAAGTAATGTGTTTTATTATTAATTGATTTTTTTAATACTATCAATTGGAAACCCAAGATTTAATACTAAAATTAAAGCTACTATTATAGAGAATATGATGTGTAAACAATGTAAATCATGACAATAACCGATTTCTTGTAATTTATTGTTAAAGTTATGAAACTTAAAAAAAGTAATGTGTTTAATTATTAATTGATTTCTCTAAAACTATGAATAGGAAACCAAAGATTGAATACTCAAATTAATGCTACTATTATAGAGAATATGATGGGTAAACAATGTAAATCATGACAATAACCGATTTCTTGTAATTTTTTGTTAAAGTTATGAAACTTAAAAAAATAATGTGTTTAATTATTAATTGATTTCTCTATAACTATGAATAGGAAACGCAAGATTTAATACTTAAATTAAAGCTAATGTTATAGAGAATATGATGTATAAACAATGTAGATCATTATTTTAATCGAATTCTTGTAATTTATTGTTAAAGTTATGAAACTTAAAAAATTATGTGATTAATTATTAATTGATTTTTCTAAAACTATGAATAGGAAGCCAAAGATTTAATATTCAAATTAAAGCTACTATTATAGAGAATATGATGGGTAAGCAATGTAAATCATGACAATAACCGATTTCTTGTTAAAGTTATGAAACTTAAAAAAAGTAATGTGTTTAATTATTAATTGATTTCTCTATAACCATGAATAGGAAACGCAAGATTTAATACGTGAATTAAAGCTAATATTATAGAGAATATGATGTATAAACAATGTAGATCATTACTCTAACTGATTTCTTGTAATTTATTGTTAAAGTTATAAAATTTCTTAAGTATATTTTTTTTTATATTGAGTATTTTGAAAACTATCAATGAAAACCTAACCTTTGAATCAATTGTAAATCATAAATGTATAGAATTAATTATATAATTAAGTATATGATTAAGAAAAGAAAGTATTTAGTGTCTGAAATTTATCAGGCAACCAAATATACATGTGTGCAGGACTATACTTTCAGAAATTGTTCGTCCTATACGTATAAATATACAATATATAAACACATGTGGTAGAGTAAACATAGATGCATAGATGTTCAAGATGGAAATATCGTATCCAGAGATATTCAAGCAGGTGCCGAAGGATTCGGATGATTTCCAGCTGCAGTGCAACAAGTTATCTAAAGGTTCGTGAGATTGTTATTAATTTTTTAACCTACAATTCTAATCCAATTTTGTTGTTATGCAGATATCGTCGACAAACAAAAGACGATACTAAATGTGATTGAGAATTTGAACTCGTACTTAACAGACCCATCCCATCACAAGAGAGAGTATGGAACTCACATATTATCCGAAGTCATCTCAAAATTGAGCAGCGATGCCTTGAGCTTACAGGAATTACACTTCATCAATAAATTTTACACGGACAGGCTTAGAGATCACCATGAGGTTTGTATAAATAACTAAAATATGTGTATACATTAATCATTAATTATTTAAGGTTATTCCAGCTGTGCTGAGAGGAGTTTTGGCGTTGATGAGCCAAAAGAATTATCCGGATGGAGGTTGTACAGAGATGCTTTCTTCTTTGTTCCAAAATGTGTCTTGTCAGCAGCAGCAAAGAGGCGACAGATACAATATCTACTGCATTTTCAAACATTGCTTGGAGTTCAGAAGTGATGAAATCAAATCTATGGGTTTGGATTTCGTTTATGGTTTCATCAGCGCTATTGACAGTGAGAAGGATCCAAGGAATTTGGTGTTCCTGTTTGGTTGGTTGCCTCAGTTGATCAGAACTGTATCTTTGGGTCATCTCAAAGAGGAAATGTTTGAAACTGTATCTTGTTACTTTCCAATTGACTTCAGGGTCTCAGCACAAGATTCTATGGTAAAGATTTCAAACAACAGCATAAAAAAATGATTATTTATATTACTGCGATTTCAGGGAATCACGAGAGAGGCTTTGGCTGAAGTTTTAGCGCCTTGTCTGTGCGCTATAGATGATTTCGCTTCTGACTGCATTGGACTAGCTTTAGAAAAACTTGGTTCCTCCATGCGCATTGCCAAATTGGATTCTTTAAACGTTTTGGTAAGATCTTATTTGTAAATTTAAAAATCGAAATGAATGATTGGTTTTCAGAAAATGGGTTGTGGAGTGTTTTCAGAGGAATCGTTCTTGCTGCATTCCACAGAGCTTTGGGCTTCGATACAAAAGGAAGTGTACAGCGCGAGCGGCGATTATGAAATAGAATCTTTGGCTTTGGATACTTTAAGCGCGATAGTCTCTAGGATATCTTCCAGCAACACGGACACGTTCAAAGCTTTATTGAGCAACATCACGGACACGTCTAAATTGAATTTGCGGCCGGACGCGAAGCTGTTTTCAGCGACTGGTAAAATCTTGGAAGCCGTTACAAAAAGTTCCAAAGTCTCCGCCGAGCACGTTATTAAGCAGTGCATTCCGTTGATGATGAACACTTATCAGATTGTATCAACCATCCCCGAAAGGCTCATCGTTTTCCAGCAGTTGATATCGATCGTGGCGATTTACTCCAAATCTTATAACTTGAATGAAATGGAAGAGTTGAAGCTCATACCGAACTTGTGTCTGCAGGCAGCGATCGAGGATCATCCGCAGATCAGGGCTTTGGGATTGAAGAGCCTAGGAATTCTCCACAACGCTTTATCGGAAGAAATCCGAGTCAACTTCTACAAGAGCATGAGAGTGTATTTGGTGATTAAGCAGGAGAGAATAGTTCGCGAAGCTTTCCATCACTGCTTAATTCAATTGACCAGTTCGTATACCAAAGAAGTGTTACCTGTTATACAAGAGGTTCAAATCTCGAGCGAAGATGATCTGATCGTTTTCATGGATTGTTTGGTTGAAATCGCGTTGATTTCCGATGATATATTCCAATTCCTTTTCCAGAAATGCATCGGGGATGATTTAAACACATCCACACACGCGTTTTCCGCTTTGAAGCAAGTTTTTATAAAGCAGGAAAGCGTGGAGTTTTTGGAAAATTATCTACAGAAATTTGATTTTTTGAACGTTTTGATCGACTGGGTTTTCTCTAAACTGGAGCTTCTGAATACACGCGATAAGATGATGAAGGATGTGGGTGAGGTTTTGAGAGTTATCGTTTCTTGCCATAACTGCGACAAGCAGAGAATTATCGTTGAAAAGCACTTGAATCGAGTCATCGAACTCTTCGGATTGAATAAAATCGATGTTTCGGTGTTTGTTTTAAGTGGACTGATCGTTAGATTGGATAGGGCAGTTTTGAGTGACTTCAGAATGCCCGATTTTATAATCGAAATTGCTACTAAAACGACGAGCGAACTTGTCCAAGTGGAGGCTTTCCAACTGATAGCTAATTATTTGAACAAATTGGATTCAGGTAAATATCAGGTAATAATCCTGTAGATCCGTGAATTTCATTGGTTTTAATTGTAGAAGACGAGATTACCCGAATATTGGTTGCCATAGAAACTTCTTCAACGAACGTGGACATCGCTAGGCAAGTGGGGTTATGCACTTGGGTCACCAAGGCTTTGGTGATGAGATCACATCCACAATCAGACAAATGGATAAATCTGGTTTGTTTTGCAAATCTTACCATAACAAATTTATATACTAATAATAATTTTTTGAATTAGATGGTTTCTTCATTGAAAATGCACGCACCAGCAGCGATGGGATTCAAAATCGTCTTGGACGAAAGCTACGATGCTTTATCGACGAAAAGCAACTGCCAAAAGAGGTAAGTTTTGTTCAATTCAAATCAAATCGAAATTTATAATTAATACAAATTTTTAGATTGTTGTACAAGCAAAGATTTTTTACGCAATCGACGAAATCTATAAACGAGGCCTACGATGAAACAACAACGGCGCATCTTTGTGCCATAGCGTACATGCTCGAAGAAATACCCCAAACCGTCATCAAAATGCAATTTGAGCAGGTAAACTTTCCTAATAATCTTCACGCATTTTGGTATAAATCTGAATTGTTTCAGTTGATCCGATTTATTTCTCTTGGTTTGGACACCATCACCGAGCTTAAACCTTTAACAGCAATTTTCACAACGCTCGATAATCTTCTGCAAAAGAAGGATCCTCTCATGGAGTCATACATCCAGACTTTGCTTCCAAGATTCCTGAAATTAAGTGCCTTCAAAGATTCAATGGTATATATTATTTATTTTGTATGTTAAATCATTAATTTATCGTTTTCTTTTACAGTACGTTCGTTGTTCTGCGATTATGTGTGTTAGTGGCTACGCTACAGCCGGTTATCCTTTGCACAAGGTACTTCCATTCAAATCGGATGTGATTGTTGCGTTGGGAAAGTGTCTGGATGATCCAAAGAGATTGGTTAGGAATAAGGCTGTGGCTGCAAGGATGTACTGGTACATCATGGATGAGCCTATTTGAAGCATCGATTAAAGAAGATTATAAGTAAATATCAAATTTTAAACTGCAGGGACGTTAGATGAAACAATAAAAGAAGCGCTTGTAAATGTTATAATTATTACAAAATTGACTATCTTTTAAGTGTTATTAGTATGTTTTATATTTTCATAATTCCCATGAATTAAAAACAATAGAAATCCCTTTCTTTTTATAAAGTATGAATTGAATTATTTTAAGTGTTCCAATTAAAATAATTGACCAGAAATTTATAAAACTATTAATAGTAGTGCTACGTGTATTACTTAACAATTACTTAGAATTTCATGTAAATTTACTGTTTATAACTTTATAAGTAGCTGCAACCAAACTATCATTATTGGTGATTTAACTCTTGTAATATTGGTGCTACTGCTAACGCTTTAGGTTAAATAGGTTAAGAAATTAACAACAACAGCAAACGTTTCAGTTGTTTTGCTTCTTTTAAGGATTATAATTTTCTCCATATATATTAGTAAATAGAAGAGAAGTCGCGATGCCTGCATTAGAGGTGTCCCAAAACAATTCGAACAATGAGAACGTCGACGATCCAGGCCCAATAAATCCAGTGGTTGGTATAATCTATCCTCCCCCCGAAGTAAGGAGTATCCTTTTTAAATGAAACAATTTATTAACGTTTTGATCTAATGTGTTTCAAATTCAACAGTGAAACGTGTAAGTAAGATGCTGTTTATTAGCAAGAGAGTGTATTTTTTCCTGAATGGCTTTTGAAAAGATATTGTTGACAAAACTGCCAGTTTTGTCGCAAGAAATGGACCGGACTTTGAGGCCAGGATCAGGCAGAACGAGCTGGGTAATCCCAAGTTTAATTTCTTGAATTTGGGAGATCCTTACCATGCCTACTATCAGCATAAAGTCAATGAATTCAGAGATGGAAAAGGTGAATATTTTATTAAAATTTGTTTGAAATTGAATTTATTGAAATTGTTTAATATGATGAGTGTTAGCCATATATAAGCATTCGGCTTTCTTAGCTTTGAGTGTGGTGATCAGAACCAAAATACCCGAGAGCGAAAATGATCTGATTTATAATACTAAACAAATGTTGCTTCTGAAGTGATGCATTGTTTTCATATATATTTTGATTTTTTAGGTCCGGAGCCAACGTCGGCTCTTTCAGTGTCGATTGGCAAGTTAACAGTGAACGCTTTGGCTCAGCAGAAGCAACAGGAAATTTTAAAATCGGTTGAACAACCTTTTGTGCCTAAAGATCCGCCAATAGATTTCGAGTTTATCGCTGATCCACCTTCGATTTCAGCTCTTGATTTGTAAGATATTTATGTAATTTGTGTTTCATTATTTTACATTGTTTTGTTTATTGTAGGGATATTGTAAAATTGACGGCGCAATTCGTTGCACGTAACGGTAGGCAATTCTTAACGCAACTGATGAACAGGGAGCAGAGGAATTTCCAGTTCGATTTCTTGAGGCCGCAGCATTCGCTCTTCCAGTATTTCACTAAGCTGTTGGAGCAGTACACTAAGGTTTTGATCCCTCCGAAGAGCATGCAACAGCGTTTGAGAGATGAGGCTCGTAGTTCTATAGCTGTTTTGGAGCAGGTCAAGTATAGGGCCGAATATCAGAGGTATCAGGAGGCGCAGAAGGCCCGCGAGGAGGAGATCTTGGAGAAGGAACGTGTGGCTTACGCTCAAATCGATTGGCACGATTTTGTTGTTGTTGAAACGGTGGATTATCAGCCGTTTGAAATTGGTAATTTCCCTGCGCCGACCACTCCTGAAGATGTGGGAGCAAGGCTTCTTATCCAAGAGCGTTTGGAGGATGGGGAGGTGATTGAGATGCAGTTGGAGAGCGACGAAGAGGATGGTAGAGGCGATGATGGCTTGAGTCACATGGAGGATAAAACCGGAAGGAAGGGCGATAAGGATGATAACAGGTTGCAAGATATGGATGAGGAGAGCTCGGGTGACGAAGGTCCTGATGAACCTAATCAACCGGCTATACAGCCTCCGCTACCGCCAGCGCCGGATAAGGTACTCGTTAAAAAGTACGATCCTAAACAGGCCGTTAAAGTAACGAGGCCAACTGTCGGCGATGACTATTTGATTTCCCCGATCAACGGTGAGAAGATTCCTGCTAGCAAAGTGCAGGAGCATATGAGGATCGGGCTTTTGGATCCTAGATGGGTGGAACAGAGAGACAAGCACATTCACGAGAAGATCAACCAGGAGACGGTTTACGCGGCCGGATCTGCCATTGATGCTAGCTTGAAGCTGCTCGCAGAACGTCGTACCGATATCTTCGGTGTTGGTGATGAAGAAACAGCGATTGGTAAGAAAATCGGTGAAGAAGAGACCAGGAAAGATGAGAAAGTTACTTGGGATGGACACACTTCCAGCGTGGAGGCCGCCACCAGGGCTGCAAGAGCAAATATCACATTGGAAGATCAAATTCATCAAATACACAAGGTAATAATATATAACAACAGTTGTCTGTTCATTTGATTTCATCTTGCGTGTTACAGGTTAAAGGTTTGTTGCCGGATGAGGAGAAGGAAAAGATCGGTCCAAAGAACTTGGGCGGTCGTAAAATGAATCCTGGAGCTGTCATTTCAGCCAAACCTCAAGCCAACCCCAACCCAGTGGTAAGTTTTTGATGATTAGTAGTTTTTCGTTTACTAATGCAAATATTTCAGCCGGTGAAACCACCGCAGGCGGCCATTCAGCAACCGCCTCCATTGGCTATGCCTGTTCAGCAGCAATCTCTTATGGCACAGCAACCGTCCATCATGATGATGCCTGCTCCACCCATGCCAACCATGAGACCGCCTCCATTAATGAGTAAGTACTAAATATATATTACAAGGTTTAAATTACATTACATTAAATTATCTTTCACTTTAAGTGGCCGCTCCGCCCCCAATGGCAGGATTCGTGACGCCAATGCAACCGCAGATGGGACCGCCAATGGGAATGGGAGTCAAACATCCCAACGACGGACCTAACGAGGACGAACCATCCAATAAGAAGCTGAGGAATGAAGATTCTTTGGTACCAGAAGCAGTTTTCTTAGCGAGAAACACCGTAAGTTATATTAATCAATCAATATTAAAAATTAACATACAATTAATGTACAAATTAAAATCTTTTTCAGAATCCGGTTACAATAAAGGTGAATATTCCGATGATGCCGGAGAAGGCGGAATGGAAGTTGGCCGGTCAGTCTTTGACAATGACCATGCCATTGACAGATTTGATATCGGTGCTCAAGGCGAAGGTGCAAGAAGATACAAACATGCCACCTGCCAAGCAAAAGTTGTTCTACGACGTGAGTTTTCTTTTAATCAGTTTTAATTCGTTACTCATTCTTCGATTTTCTTCTTCTGCAGGGTATGTTCTTCAAAGATCAAAACACGCTGGGCTATTACAACCTGACGCAGGGCGCATCCATACAGCTGCAAGTCAAGGAGCGCGGTGGTCGCAAGAAGTAATTTTATCGTTTATTGAGAGAGAGAGATTTTTTTTTTGGGAATTTATTAAAGTGTCGATGTCTAATCATTGATAAATGCCGTGCCCTCTTTGCCCCCTATGACTCTTGTCCGTCCCACTTTCCATGATAACGCGAATTTACGTACGCTCCGGCTGCATCCCATCCATTCAGCACAAAAAAAATCCTCATCCAAGCACAATTTTCATTCGTATCGATAAAAAATGTGTTCTCATGGTAGAGAATGTCTTTCTTAATATAACAAGTTAACCGTTTTGTTGCAACCATGAGATAAGCGACAACGGTTCAATGATTACGAAAGAAAAGACTAGAGTGTTGTAATCGTCTCATAGATGGGATGAAAGGTCGAAAAAAATGCTTAGTTACACTCCCTCAACCGTTTGTTGCTTAGCAATAAACTTATCCCCGGTTTATTCACCTCTTCACTACTTATTTTAACATTCGAATTAAACCAAATCGATTATAAGGCAAGGTTATCCAAAGTAATTGAGTATTAATCCGCAAATACTTAGTAAATTGATATGCTTAATGCAATTCTTCAATTAACCGATAAATCAGTTATTAGAAGTTTTCATGCGTGAAACCTTTGGATTTTAGAAAGTTGTTGCTTTCGTTTAAGCAGTTGTAAGATGTAAGACATAACAGGATCAAAATTTCGGGTTTATTTTCGTACGCATGTTATATGGGTCAATGCCAACAAACCCAAAAAAATACAGTACGAGTGTGTAGGAAAAGGTCAAAGTCGTTCGAAGTGCAGCATTCGAACATATACAGAGAGTACTCCTCGTCGGATGGATGCAACTTTTATCGCATAGAAAACGTAAACAAAATCAAGCACGAAATCACAACAAGTTTTGAAATTTTTGTGATATTCAATCTAACGCGCCAACAACATTTTGAAACGTAGTATAATAATTTCCAGATCTTCAGACTTCATAATATCAATTAATTTTTGGATCCATTTTTATGTAATAACAACATTTATTGTTGTTTAAACAAACAATATTTGTTAAATCGTTGCTAACGGATTTGATCTTACAGAAAGATCTGTCATTATTCATGTAATAATATTAAACAGAGCATTTCGCTTAACGAGCGAAATTTTGGAACGTTCAGTGAGGTTCCACTGTATATTAAAGTTAACATTAAGTACATTTCAAAACAATTGCAACATTTGTCCCATGATTTCATATATTGGGATTATTAAATTAACAACATTTGGGTTATGTAAGGTTAGACTTCTTGTCAAAATATGGAACAACAATTTATTAGGTAAGGTTAGATTCTCAAAAATTTTGCTTTTGCAATCAAAATAAATTCATTGAATAATAAAAATTGTTACAAAAATTATTATCGAAACAAATATTGAATAGTATATTTTAACAATTGTTGCGATTCATAAATAATAATACAATAGAACACAAATAAAATTGAAACATTTACAAATAACAAAGAAATCGTTTGCATTGCTTACATCGAATCAATAAACAATTGCTGGTGTCGATTAATAACAATTGAAACATTAATTTATTGTAACTGCATGCATACTAAACAATGCTTTTGCAGTAACAATACAAAGTAACAATTTGCATACTTTACGAGCATATTACGAAATATTTTTGAAACTTTTATATGAAATCGATTTGCGAGTTTCGTAAAGATTCTCCAAACATTAACGACGCTCATTAAAATTTTAACGTATAATAATGCAGGACAATTTATCTTCAACGACCCAATTATGCAGTTTTTAAAATTTTATTACCCATTTAGTCCAAGTTGCAACAATTTATCTAAGTTACGTAAATTTTACATTTAAAGTATTCTGAAGATTAGATTTCATTAATCGTTCGATCTGTGGAAATTCCAAATTATGAGTTAAATGCACACATTGTAATTAATAATCTATGTCTGATAAATTCAGTTATTTTCATTTAGTTATGAACCATTTAATTTCAATAGAGTTATTAATTTTTGTTATCAGAATTGAATGTAATATCATACAATAATTGATTGAATATTGAAATTCCGACTGTATCGAAATCCCGACAAACAAAATCCCGACTATATCGAAATTCCGACAGTGTATTTTATTATTATAAATTTCTACAATAACATTTTTTTGGTAGTCGGGATTTCGTTATAGTCCGGATTTTGATTGTCGGGATAATGGTAGTCGGGATTTCGATATAGTCAGGATTTCAAGCGTCGGGACTTTAATACAGTCGGGATTTCGAACGTCTGGATTTCGATACAGTCGGGATTTTGAACATCAGGATTTCAATAGACGGTCTTTCGGTTGTGGGGCTTGCGATATAGACCCTGATTCCAAAGACTGGATTATATAATTTTCAATAACATATTGAATGAAAATATGTGCATTTTGACAGGTTACGTCATTTCAGCAATTTTGTAATTCAGTCTTTGAAAACTATATTCTGATGTTATTGAAAGGAGGAATTTTGGTGATTTGATTTCTTTAATTTTTGCCATCAATGTTACTTATCGGCTCTATTTGAAAAAAATGTTAAATATTTTTTCAGGATGTGACAGATCCAACAAACAATTTTATCACGTAACGTCATTAGTTATTTTTTGTTATTATTAACAGATCAGCTGATTGACAAAATACTATTGTATTTAAAAACATATCTAACTTTGGTATGTTTATGAACAGCGCTGCCTATGATTTATTATGTGCTTCGTTTGTTGAACTCATAGAAAACGTTTTCTGGCTCAGACGTAATTAACATTTAAATAAGTTAATTAAAAATGCTGTTTTCAAACGCACAGACGAGACGGATCTTCGGTTCATTCCTACGGATGTCTCTCACTCTACTCGTTTCCACCTCGTGCATGAATATCATTCGCTCCGTCATTACCATTACTATATTGCTCATGTCACGTAACTTCGGTTCTCGTTACGTACGCATAACGGTTCGAATACATGATCAGATTCAGATGCGCAATTGCCTCAGTTTGTTTTAAAAATTAGGAGACATCTCGTTTTCTGCTTACAAAATAAACCTGTCCTCAGCAGAATTGTATTACGCATGCAAAAAGCATTTTATCCTTTGTTTTTATTGATTTATTTCTGTAATGGATGCATCCATAACAATTGTTTGGTTGTCATGGACGTTACTGCACTTGTTATTGACGTTATTCATCTTATAGTAGGGGTCGGCAACCTGTTTGGAGAAAAGAGTCATTTTTGAGATACATCTAGAGAGCCGCACATATCACTACAATTGTCATTATTGATTTATTTCTGTAATGGATGCATTCATAAGAAATGTTTGGTTGTCATGGATGTTACTGCACTTGTTAATGGGGTCTATCACAAGCCCGACAACCGAAAAGCCGTCTATTGAAATCCCGACTATATCAAAATTCTGACTACGATAATCCCGACAATCAAAATCCCGACTATATCGAAATACCGACTACCATAAAAATGTTATTGTAGAAATTTATAATAATAAAAGACACTGTCGGGATTTTGATAAAGTTGGGATTTTGATTGTCGGGATTTTGACATAGTCTGGATTTTGATATAGTCGGGATTTCATATGTCGGGATTTTGATAGACGGGATTTCGGTTGTCGGGCTTGCAATTGCCACCGTTGTTAATGACGTTGTTCATCTTATAGTAGGGGTCGGCAACCTGTTTGGAGCAAAGAGCCATTTTTAAGATACATCTAGAGAGCCGCACGTATCACTACAATTGTCATTATTGATTTATTTCTATAATGGATGCATCCATAACAATTTATTGGTTGTCATGGACGCTACTGCTCTTCTTAATGACGTTAATCATCTTATAGTATTTATGAATAACATTATTTGGTTGACATGGTTTCAAAAAAAAAATCAATGAATCATTATGACAGTTGGTTGTTATGAACAACATCGTTACAGACAAAATTATTCTAGATACTCTTTATGTTGCTTCCATTGACACAGATCATGTGTATGATATCTGGATAGGAATTTCGAAAATGCAGAACTATCTCTCCGCTTATCGTTGCGGAATTATCCAGAAGTAACGTGGACCTTGCTGCTGTTTCTCCAGCTTCGGTCACTTCTTGAATAGATGATTCTCAGTAACCGTTATCTCGTGCATATATTGTGTATACTTGTAGGAACGAGATTGAGTCATATAGGAAGTAATGGCATGGTACGCGTGTTTCGTAATCCACCGCCTGCTCAATTAATTTCTCCTTCTTTCATTCAATCTTCATATTTTGAACGATTGTTTTTGTAAATCTTAGAATTTGTTAACAAAAAAAAGGAAGCAAATAGTTAAGAACAAATATAATTTGTTACAAAGTTTTACATATTGAAATATGGAATGTCAATGCAGATTGTGTTATTGTACGATGAAAATTACGCATAGGTCATGGATTTGATACGGTTTATAAATATACATTTCATACGTCTGTAATGAACAAAGAATAAATGAAACGCGAGCAAACACAGCCAGCTTCTTTATTTTAGTTATCTCCGTGTTAATTAAACATTAAACTAAGATTAAAAGAAGATTTTGTTTGTTTTCATTATAACATTTCAATTTTTCTAAATTATCAAAGAAAAATAATAAAATCCAATAATATTAACAAGAAATATGTGAGAAATTCATGATTTTATAGGTGTCATAAAAGAAGCGTTACTACTTTGTTTGTCATTATTTTCAAATCTGTTGCGGTTACGTCAGTTGTCATTTTAAAATCGTAAACTGTGGATTCTCAAATTTTGTTTTAAAAACGTTTCAGATCTTAATAACAAATAGTTGAGATAAAAACTTTTGTTTTAAAAGTCAATTAAAACGTCGTTGTTAAATATAATTAAATACAATAAAAACCTTATTAATCACAAGATAATTTGATTGTTGCTGGAGGAACAAGGAAATTGGATTGATTATATAATTGTTGTATGCATTTAATCATGATTTTTTTTAATGGTATAAGTTTTTTTCTTAATTTAAACGAGTTGTTAATTTAGGAAACTGTGAGACTTGAAAAAAGAGAAAATCGTTGTGAATAAATACCGTGAATGGTCAGCGCAGCCTTCGGCATTATTATTAAAAGCGTAATTTTACGTAATCGATTCTACTTAGGCGGCGCGAAACAAATGCGTACGTCTTATACTTGTCAGATTCCGCGAACAAATCAATTGTTAAATGTCAAGTTGGCGAATTCTGTTTGTTTCTCGTGAATAGATAGTTTTTGTCGTTGTTAGTATGCGAAATGAGTTCAAAGAGATGAAATGTTGTTGTTGTTGTTACGGAGAGGTTGGATGTGAGCACGTTGTTTTCACGTGCTCGCACTGCAGGTTCTTATAAAATGTGTGTGTATATATGTGTACACGGCTCATATACCTGTGACCAATGTTTGTCCTTGCAAAGTGTTAGCACCGTTCGTAACGACCGGCGAGATTTGTCTCCTGCTGCAGAGAGCGCATCTTTTAGATAATACACACACACAAAAACAGAAAAAAAAAGTTTGATTGTTTACAATGAACTCGTTGTAAATGTTTTAGGTAAGTCTTAATTAAAGTTGCTGTTTTTTTCCATTCCGTTTTGCGTAATCTTTCTTGTTCTGGGGGCGCGTCTTTATCGCTCGCACAGTTCGCGAAAATTTTAATCACTTCTTTCTTTCATCTCTCTTTGATTTTTCGTTGCGCGCCGCTTTTGATTAGGACGACGCTATGAACACATGTATATTTATATACGGGGAATATACGAGGATCAGTTCAGCTCTGACCGTTGTTGATGAACAATATATACGTATTTTGTGAGTTTACTTCTTCGAGTTTCTTAGTTCAATTTTGTTTTTCTGGTGGATGTTTACTTGATTTACCTTTTCAGAAATGTAAGTTTACCAAACTTTATTAAGAATAAGTAACTTTTTATAAATCTATTAACAAATTCATTACAATTTAACGAAGAAAGAAAGTTTCAAAACTTTTAAGTTTTTAAAAAAATAACTAAATTCATTATTTCTTTAATATTTAACTTCAATATTTAATGAATAATTATAGTCAAATCTTGGATATTATCACTTATTTGTAATATTTGAACGTAAAATTCACATGCCCAAACAACTTCATCAAAACAATACTGATATTAACACAAATTTAAACAAAAACGTATTTTCACACACAAACAATTTCATATAGATTTTAATAAATTGAAAAGTTTTGCAATAATTTTAATACTAAGAAGTAAAAGTTTGACTTCTTTAGTAGTTCGATTCGATTAGATTGAAATTGTTATCAAAACATTCGCAAGTTTCTGTTAGTTTGATTTTTTCTTTGATTATACAAAAAATAAATGCAGAAATTTATAAAAAACCATTTTTTTAAATCGTTTGTTTGTTAATAATTAGATTTACAATTCAAATAACGACATTTGCAATTCATTATTTTCATTGCTACTTGCACACTTTGATTATTTTGTTCTATTATTACTCTTTTATAGTGTTTTTTGTTAGTACATTTTATTGTTGTTTCCAATAATTTCCTTCAATTAGTTTCTCAATTTATATTAAATTTTGAACTACATTACTATATTTCAGAATAGGTTTTTTCTCTCTAATTGATCAAAAGATGGAAATAATTATTTATAGTTAACTAATATAGAATTTATATAATGGTTTGTTGGCATTTAATGTTATCATGTCAATAAAAATAGCGAACGTAATTATACGTTCGTTATTTTTAGAATCTTTCAACGTAATTGCTCATTAACTCAAATTTAAAAACAATAACTAATAATACCGAGTGACGCAGCGAAACTGTTGAATAAACCAATTAGATTAATACTATTTATTTTACTATAATAAGAAGTTGTACATTTTCATATTTTATTGATTTTCTCGAAAACTATAATAGATTGATTGGATCCAAGAGATGCATATGATATCTGGATGATTAGAGAATGTATCAAATATTCATACATTGTTGTGGTTTCATCAATTTGGCTGTAATTCGCGTTCAAATTTGAAAAAATGAAAACTTTACGTTAGAAATAGTAGTGTCTTCACATTTTAGTGATTTTCTCCGAAACTATAATAGTTTGAATGGATCCAAAAGATTCATATGAAAGCTGGATGTTTGGGGAATGTATCGAGTATTCATAGATTTCTGTGGTTTCATCTATTTGGCTGTAATTCGCGTTTAAATTTGAAAAAATGAAAACTTTACGTTCGAAATAGCAGTGTCTCAACATTTTAGTGATTTTCTCCGAAACTATAATAGTTTTAATGGATCCAAAAGATTCATATGAAATCTGGATGTTTGGAGAATGTATGGACTATTCATACATTGCTGTGCTTTCATCAATTTGGCTGCATTTCTCGTTCAAATTTGAAAAAAAAATTGGTCGAAATATTAACTTAAATTTCTAAAAACTTCGTAAGTAATATGACTACTATATAGATGTAACTATGAACGTATAGATTTCTTGTATAGAGAAAATAACTTATCGCTTTTTTTTATGTGCAATGAATTTGATTTATGAAATTGTTATTATATGCAAATCGATTTGGAACAAAACAACATCGCATTCAAATTCGAAGATCGAAGTGCCCCGGCCTCAGTGTATTTATAGAATTTTGTTGTTCTGTCCGTCGTTCTATCTAGGCTTCATTCGCCGTTATCTCCCACTCTCTAATTAAGAGAAGAAACCGAGCAACTCTTTTGTTTATCGACAGCAAATTGTTTTCATTTCTGCAGTTTCAAGCCAACTCTTAACAAAAAAAAAACCGGTTTTGGAAAATACTTAATCTTAACAGTGGCAACTAAGTGGAATTAGAATGAATGCGATGCGTTAATGAGACAAGACCGTGAACAGCAAATAATCTCAACATATTATTATTATTTCGATAACTAAAGGAATCTTTGAATCATAGTGTATACTTGTTGTGAAGACTTTGGAATTGTCACGAGATTGATCATAGTTTTTTTAACATTCGGTATTTCCAAAATTTCTATACTATTTGATTTATAAAGACTATTTTTTTAAATTTCAATACTATTCAGAGACATTATTTTTTTGAGTTGTTCATTTCTTGGTCACAACAGAAATGATCGATGCAAATTTTGTCCTAGTTAACAGAGACAGTCGCATGTTTTATTCATTTCGCCGGAACTAGTAGCTTGCAGAAACAAAATCGCTACGAACAAAAAAAAATGAAGTTAATAATCTCGAACATTGCAAAAAAAAAAACAAACTAAGAGAGTAACGACCACTTTCTATTCTAAATCAGCTTTATCACTCACACAATTTCTTTCTTCCTTCCAGAACCCACGACTCGTGAAGGATGTGCGTACGAATACTGTCGACGCTGGTATTGGCCAGCATCGTGTGCGGAAGTGCCACCAGCCAATCGAAAGTCGGTAAGGATTCACCGAGACACGCCTATTTTGCCCTTCAAAACCCTAAATTAATACATATAGAAAAGTGAGCCGAGGCATCATTTCTTTTGTTTCGAACAAACAAGTTCATGGCACCAGTGATAAAGAGGTGCTGTGGTCATAGTATGGGTCATACTTTTGTCCAGATAACGGACACGATTCATTCATGATAAAAAAAAACCCGCTGCGTTTTAATTATGATTAAAGACAAATTCGGTTCTCATTTTCATTGTAGGCAATAATATTTACACATTTCTCGATTGGGTTACGAAATCTGCATTAATTTCGTAATTGTAAATAATTTCAGTTGATAAATTAATAGTTTTTTTTTTGTGAATTAATTTCGCAATTGTAAATAAATTGAGTTAATTAATCTATTTTCTTAATAAGATAATTAACAATTTATTGTTTTTTTTTTCTCTCCTAAGGTATTAAGAATGTTTACTTTCCGGATCACATCAATTGGTGGAACGAAACTCCTGATCACGATTTCAACGATGTCCAGGTGACCCAGAAGGATCTTAACTTTTCCGTAGAGTTCGGAAGCGGCGTTTTGGGTAGACTAGATCGTTTGGAAAATAATTTGGCCTGGTCGAACATTCAGATCAAACAAGGCACAACGGCTCACGCACAGCTGATAGAGTCTAATCCTGAGGAGGAAGCTTTGAACCAAGGAAAGAAAGCTTTGATTGCCGCGAAAGCCACCATCTATTTGATGAACTCGCATTGCTACAAGTAAGTTAACAGCTTACAGGTATTTGTGACAAGTTGTAAATGTCAAATTATCATTTGTTTCAGTACTTATTTCATTGTTAAAAAAACGTACTGAAACGAAAGATCATTTTGACAAGATATAAATGTCAGTCATAAGTAATCTTGACAACCATCAATCGTTGAAACGTCAATCTTGGTAATTGTCAAAATTTTAATACTGATATTTGTGTTTCAGGCATCACTTGGATCCGAAAAACTGCGCGAAACACGTAACCAAGTACAGTCTGGATGAAACACAGCTGAAGTCGTCTTGCGAAAAGTATACCAAGAAGTGCAAAAATGACGTTAAGTACCGGTCGGTGGATGGGTCTTGCAACAGAGTTTCCGAACCCGCGATGGGTGAAACCTTTACTTCCTACAGACGACTGCTGTTCTCCGATTATTTGGATGGTGTCCACGAGATCAGGAGATCCTTGTTCAAGAAGAGACCTTTACCGCAACCTAGGGAGATCAGCATGAAGCTGATCAAACAAAAGGGACCCGAAGAAGACTTCACTTTGGCCGTGATGCAATGGGGGATGTTCATGGGTCACGATTTATCTCACACGGCTGCAAGCAAAATGAGTAAGTTTTAACATAGTTTTCTTGATTTTTTAGATGGTTTTAATATTGTTTCTATTTTGAAGTTCACTCAAACAACGCGATTGAATGCTGTAGCGTGAGCGGAAGTAAACTTGCACCTCGTTACGTCCATCCATTCTGCGCCCCGATTCACGTTCCGCAGAACGACAACTTCCACGGTATCCAATGCATGACATATGTCAGATCGATTCCAGCCATGAGACCAGAATGCACCTTTGGGCCTATGGAACAGGTAAATTTGTATATTTGAATTTTGGATTGACTGAAAAAAAAAATGAAATCGTTCAGATGAATCAAGCGAGTCATTTCATGGACGGATCACAACTGTACGGAAGCTACGACGCCAAAAACAATATGCTGAGAGCGTTCAAAGGTGGTCTTCTTCAAACGACTGTGGAGAATGGTAAAGTCTACATGCCTTTATCGACTGATCCTTGGCACCACTGTCAGATCACGGTGAAGGACTCGACCTGCTTCATTTCCGGAGATTCTCGCGCGAACACCCATCCGCAATTAACAGCGATGCACACGGTTTGGATGCGTGAGCATAACAGAATCGCCAAGTATTTGTCGAAATTGAATCCCGACTGGAACGATGAGAAATTGTATCAAGAAACGCGTCGTATCGTGATAGCTCAGATGCAGCACATCACTTACCAACATTGGTTACCAATCTTGCTTGGTAAAGGTAATGCGGATAAGATCTTGAGCACTCCTTTCAACGCGCATTTGGATGCTTCCGTTAGCAACAGCTTCGCTACAGGAGCTTTCAGGATGATCAAATCGATGGTCGCGGGAAATTTGACTTTGTACGATGAGAACAGGAAGGCTTTTAAATGGATACAGCTCAGTCAGCATTTCAACGCTCCGAACGTTATCAGAGTACCGGGTTACATGGATTCTTTAATCAGAGGGTTGACGGTGCAGAAGAGCAAGAAGGCCGATTTGGATTACGTCGAGGATGTTGCCAATCTGATGTACGGTAACGGCAAAAAGGGTTTCGATATAGTGAGCCTTGACATTCAAAGGGGTAGGGATCACGGGTTGCCTAGTTACATGGCTTTCCGGAAGCTTTGCGGTCTGAGCACGGGTAAGACTTTCGAAGAATTCCAAGGCACAATACCCATGAACGTAAGCTATAATGAAAAGCATCCAAAAGCAAGAAAAAATAATTATTTTATATTAACAGATAATCACTTTACTATCTGAAGTCTACAAACATCCCGGAGACGTAGATCTAATTATTGGTGTTTTATCGGAGAACAAGATGGAAGGTTCCACTTTAGGACCAACGCTGAGCTGCATCCTCTCCGATCAGTTCACGCACACAAGAAGCGCCGACCTCTACTTCTACACCAACCAAAACCAACCTTACCCATTCACATCTCAACAGCTGGACCAGATCAAAAAGGCATCTTTAGCCAGAATATTCTGCGACAACGGAGATGACATCAAGAAGATGCAACCGGACGTCTTCCACAGCATCGGGGAAAGGTATACAAAACTCAAGCAATACACAACATTTTTCTTCACTTAATTCTTAACATTTCAGAAACTCGTTGATGGATTGCAGCGATACCAAAACCATACACAAACTCGATCTTAACCTGTGGAAGACGCAATGAGACGCTAGGTGTAAAGAGCGCGAAGAAAGACTGAAGGAATCTTTTTGCCAAAAAATATGAAATCTAACCATCGAATTGTAAACATTTGCGACCTTTAACACAATCCACCCACCATTCCTCCAAACAACACCACCCTCTCTTATACAGTATTGAATTCATGCCAAAATTAATTCTTTTTTTTTGTTGTTGTTAATTATTAATTTTTCATATCCCATCCATTCGTTGTTACAAACGAATACGCGGATGTGTTTACGTGTTCTTTTTTTTATTGTTAGCTTTACTAATTAGGTTTATTTTTATTTTATTGATCTATTGCAACAATAGAAATTTATTTAAGTTGCAGTTAATTAGGTTTAATATTGAATAAAGCATACGAAAATGTTTTACGTTATTTTTATGGTGCATTTTATTAATTTGCACCCTTGTTAAGCCAAAGATGTGAGCCTTGTGGGAATCGTTTATTTACATTATGCAACCTATGTTTCATAGCTGCAAGCCGATATTATGTCAACATAAGTTTAATACAATCCATGATGATATGCAGGCGAAACTGAGACGAAATTTTATAAACCCAAAGCAAAGAGAATTGAATCATATTTTTAATAGTCCAAAATATAGTAAACTTGATACAGTTTTACAGTAATTATTATTTTTAATATAATTGTATCATTGAGTTGAATCAACTAATAACTTTGATGATAAATTTTCAAATTAGTATGTTTGGTTGCATAAGTTAATACATTAATTATTTTTAATTACATTGTGTTAATAAATCGTTAAATATTGATACATTATTTTTTAAATAATAAGTTTAGAAATGCGAAATAGTTAAATGCTAAAATTGAATGTGCTAATTAATGGTTTTTGTGGATGTGTAAATCAATTGATTACAAACAAAACTCTGCTCTAATTAGAAAGCTTAAAAACTATAAAAATTAATTAGACCCAAAGGCAGGACGTTTTAATAGCTATACTTAATACTGAGCGACGTTGAAAAACGAATGAAAAAAAAATTCATAAGAATCCGACCGGCTCACAAACAGAATGAATTTGTAAATTGCCAGTCGGAAATGTGTGGATTTATGGGTTCGTGCGTAACGCACGCCCTGTAGTAGTATTATTATTATTCGTTGAACAATCAATGAGATCACACAAGATCGGAGCGTTGTAAGAAAACATAAACAAAATATAATAAAAATAAAAAAAAAACGGATTTCGAAACTTTGAAAGTGAAATGGAAATCGTTTGAAACCCTGACGAGGGAGTGTCCGAATGGTAGCAGCAGCGGTTGTCTCTTTCATTAAATGCAAAATACATCTAAATAGAGCAAAAGCGAAATCCGCAAAAGGGAAGGAATTGATGTATTCTTTACTTTGTTGTTATCTTTCATATTTCAATGAGGAAAGTTTAGTTTGCAATTTCTCGTCGCTCAAAGCTGTTTGCTTAATCCGGATTAACGATTTACTTTGCATGATTAAGATAAAACAGAGATTATCACATAACTTATTCAAACATTAAGAGATTGTTAAATTTAATTTGAGATCTGCTCGAAGTTATTTGCTTAATCCAAGCGGATTAACGCATGATTTTGACTCGATTTAGATGTTTTAGTGTTATTTTTAAATAATTAAGATATCCAGAGATTGTTTATTTTAAAATGTAATAAATTTATGTTGAAATTTATTAATAATTTATTTATATTTTAACATCGTTATTGGAATGGAGTCTCGTGTGTGTTGTGTACTTCCTGCGACTTTCACTAATTCATGCACGCCCTCCGGGCTTTATAAGCTAATTGATTGTATAATCTAAGCTATTTCCCTTCGTAATATGTTTGATGAAATAAATAAAAATTGCGATGAGGAGATCGTTTTGAAACTAGATTATCAGTTTACAACTTTTACATTTCATTTAATTCTTAATGGTGAAACACATATTGATAGTCCATTAAAATGAGGTAACTTAAGACAGTGTAGATTAGTGTTTCTCAAGCTATGTGTCTCGACTCAAAATTGGATGGCTTTAGATGGGTTGCAAAATGACAGCTGTCACCTTGTGTCAATTCGAAGATTTGGTGAAACACTTTTAGCAATTGGTACAATTACAAAGGTATACGACGGGTCACGCAGCTAAAAGGTTGAGAAACTGTTATATAGATGAAAAGCTAATTGATGGTTAAAGACAGTGTAGATTAGTGTTTCTCAACCTATGTCTCTCAACTCAAAATTGGATGGCTCTAAATGGGTCGCAAAATGACAGCTGTCACCTTGTGTCAAATCGAGGATCTGGTAAAATACTCTTTGCAATTTGTACAATTACAAACATACAAAAGGTTGAGAAACGTTGGTCTAGAATCTAGAGGATAAAATAACTGATAGTCAAATTTTCCATCGTAATATATTCGAAAAAATTATGAAAAATCCCATTTTTTTTTGCACAAATTTGTCTTATATTAAGCTGAAGTGGTTGCAATAAGTAAATAAAATAAATCCATGAAAGATTGGTCTAAAATCGCAATGAGGACAACGTTTTGTAATTCAATTCTCGTTTAGAATTTGTATATTTTCTTTTGTTTATAAGGTGGAAGTACATAAAAATGGTATAACTTCAGATTACTGAAGATAATTTAGAACAGTGTTTCTCAATCTATGAGTCTTTATCCAAAATTGCGTTGTTTTATTTATTTTTTGATGGGTCGCAAAATGACAGCTGTTACATTGTGTCAAAACAAGGATCTGGTAAAATACTTTTTGCAATTAGTACAGTTACAAACGTTTATAATGGGTCACGTAGCTAAAAGGTTGATAAACTGTCGTCTAGATGATAAACTAATTGATGGTTAAATCGTAATATATTTGATAAAAATTCGAAATCTGTAACTAAATAAATTATGCTGTAACTAAATAAAATGAATTCTTGAAGGATTGGTCTAAAAACGCAATGAGTACAACATTTTGAAAAACAATTCTTGTTAAAATAGTTTAAAATTTTATATTTTATTTTGTTATTGGAAGTTGGTCTACAAAAATGAGGTAACTTAAGATTGTGCAGATCAACGTTCCTCACTACTTAAGATAGTTTAGATTAGTGCTTCTTAATATTTGAGATGCGACCAAAAAATTGTGTTCCTCACAACATAAGACTACTTAAGATAGTTTAGATTAGTGTTTCTCAACCTTTGAGAAATTATGTCCCGTTAAATTTTTAATGAATCATGAAATGACAGCTGTCACCTTGTGTCAAAGCGAGGATCTGGTGGAATACTTTTATAAATTTGTACGCTCAGCTAAAATATTGCGTTAATATTTTGATGGATCGTGAAATGACAGCTGTCACCTTGTGTCAAAATCAAAGGTAGATGCAAGGAACGTGTGTTTTCTTTTTAAATTCTTTCTGGAACATTTTTATCTAATGGAACATTGGAAAGGCGGAAACGAAACCGAAATCTGCATATTCACCATTGAACTTGACGTAGTTTTTTGGTGAAGCGCGCGTGCTCCGCCATGCACGCTCTAATACCGTGTAAATGCAAGAATAAACAAAACTAAAGAACGACACGTCAACAGTACTAATAAAAAGAAACAAGAAGTTCTGCCTTAAGATATATTTGTAATTAAATGGTACGAGAAGGATACCGATAAGGAAAGTTGTGATTTGAAAGGTATTGCAGGGCAATTCATTAAATCAATCAAACGCGAATCAAAGAAAAACAAAACCGAAAGAGCAATACGAAAAAGAAGAAAATAGAAAATGTATCGGAAACGGCGATAATGTGGAAAATAAACATACTTATTCTATATACTTTAAAGCCTTGTTGTTCATCCAAATGGTCACGGTTTCGCGTGTTCTATAATATTGAACAAATGCCAACGTCAGTTCCCATTGCACGTTCTCACAATTAAATTCGAGTGTTTCAGTATTTGCATAAGATATTCGTGAATATTCCAGACATTAATTTTAATTTATCTGATATATGAATAAAAGAAGAAGGAAATTTTATATCAAAAACAAAGAGATATGAAAGAAGCGGTAAGAAATTTCATCATTATTGATAGTTTTCACATATGTTTTTCGAACTTTTGTATTTTCGACCTAAATGAAAATTCACAAATCAGTATTTTCAGTGCGAATATTTAGTATAAAACTATTAGAGACTCAAATTAAAAATTGACATAACCTGAACAGAAAGGAAATGACAGTAAATAGAAATAGTTTATGACAGCTAGAAAATGTGACTAGATCAAAGTTTATGAAATTACAATTGTCATAACCTGAACAAAAAAAAATGACAGCTGAAACAAAAATAGTTTATGACAGATAGAAAACGTGACTATATCAAATTTTATGAAATTACAAAGTTATTGCATAACGAAAACAGAGTTTCATTAAAGAAACGTTACGGAATTTCATCAGTTATTTATAGTTTTCACATATGTTTTTCGAACTTTTGTATTTTCGACCTAATTAGAAAATTCACAATACAGTATTTTCAGTGCGAATGAGAAACACACATTATTTAGTATAAAACTATTAGAGAGACAAATTACAGTTAAATAAAATGGTTTATGACAGCCAGAGTTTCATAAAAGAAACTTTACGAAATTTCATCAGTTCTTGATTTTGTATTTTCGACATAATTAGAAAATTCACAAATCAGTATTTTTAGTGCGAATGAGAAATACACATTATTTAGTATAAAACTATTAGAGAGTCAAATGAAAAATTGACCATAAATAGACAAAGAAAATTTTATGAAATTACAAAGGTATTGTGTAACAAGAACAGAGTTTCATAAAAGAAGTTCTTACAAAGTTTCATCGATTATTGACAGAATAACGATAAAATTTGCAAATTGAGTATTTTCAATATATACTTACTATTTAGTATACAACTATTATAGAAAAATTGACATCAGGAGAAGAAGTGACAGTAAAACAAAATGATATCATTCTGCAGAAAAAGTAAATAGATCAAATTGTATGTAAATAACAAGGTTAGATAGAATATAACAATTGTTTCATTTTTAGGACATAGACATGTATAATGAGTAATAGTAAAATTGAAGGGTGTCTATCAAAAAATTATTTGCATTGTATTTATACGAAAATGGATGATATCATATTCACGCTGAAAATACTCGTTTTGCGAATTTCGATTGTTAGACATGTAAATGGGTCAAAAATGCGGCCACAAACTCAGGAAATAATTACTTATTCATCTGATATTGAGACCTTGATTTTTTTATGAACCAAAAAATTATAAAACAAAAAAGAATACAAAAAAACATTAACGGTTTCAAATTATT